GTTCCTCCGACCGCTTTGGGCAGCCTGTGAAACCCAGCTTGTGACTAGTTCTCCTCCAGTGCCCCCATCTAGCCGGGGTACTTAGAGTTAAAGGACGAGCCCAAGGGGGCTGCGGGTCGGGAGTGAGGGGCAGCGGCAGAGCTGGGGGGACAGGGCTGGGCGAGCAGGGGCTGCGGGTCGGGAGTGAGGGGCACCGGCAGGGCTGGGGGGGGGCCCAGGGCTGGGCTGGCAGGGGCTGCGGGTCGGGAGTGAGGGGCACCGGCAGGGCTGGGGGGAGCCCAGGGCTGGGCTGGCAGGGGGCTGCGGGTTGGGAGTGAGGGGCACCGGCAGAGCTGGGGGAGCCCAGGGCTGTGCTGGCAGGGGCTGCGGGTCGGGAGTGAGGGGCACCGGCAGAGCTGGGGGAGCCCAGGGCTGGGCTGGCAGGGGCTGCGGGTCGGGAGTGAGGGGCACCGGCAGGGCCGGGCTGGCAGGGGCTGCGGGTCGGGAGTGAGGGGCATCGCGCTGCGTGCTCATGCCCTGTCTCCCTGCAGCCAGGTACGCGACCTGGGAGAAGACCAGCCAAAGCACCTTCTTCCTGTTCAATGCCTCGCAGGTGCGGGCGCAGATCAGCAGCGAGGCCCTGCTGCACCGGGCCGAGCTGCGCATGCTGCCGAAGCCGGGCACGGAGCAGCGGGTGGAGCTGTACCAGGTGCGCTGGGCCCCCCGGGGCGGGGGAGGCAGCGAGGGTTGTTGGCGGGACTAGACCAGAGAGGGCGGGGCTACATGCTATGGGGCGGGGCTACATGCTATGGGCGGGGCTAGACCAGAGAGGGTGGAGCTACAGGAGGTGAGGTGGGCAGTGGGTGGAAGTGGGGCTAGGAGAGATGGGGCGGAGCACAGTGAACTGTGGGCGGGGGCACAGAATAAGGAGTGGGGCTAGAGCAGATGGGATGAGCGGTGGAGTATAGGGACAGGCTGGGGGTGTGTGGGGCTTGTGGGGCAGGCTGGGGTTGTGGGTGGGGCTCTGTGGGTAAGGCTGGGGGTGGGCGGGGCTCTGGGGGTAGGCGGGGCCTGTGGGGCAGGCAGGAGTTGTGGGCGGGGCTCCGCGGGGCAGGTTGGGGTTGTGGGCGGAGCTCCGTGGGGCAGGCTGGCGGTGGGTGGGGCTCCGTGGGGCAGGCTGGGGATAGGCAGGGCGTCTCTCCCCCAGCACACTGGCTCACCCCCATCTCCCCACAGCACTACGGGAACGGGTCCTGGCGCTACCTGGACAGTCGTGCCGTGGGGCAGGTGCCTGAGGAGTGGCTGGCCTTCGACGTCACCGAGGTGGTTCGCCAGTGGCTGAGTGGCCAAGGTGAGGGGGGGCCCCGAATCCGGGACACACCGTGACCCCTGCTGCTCCTTGGGCACTCAGCTCCCCCCAGGGCCTCCGTGGCCTGCACCCAGCACAGTGTCCTGTCCTGCCCCGTCTCCTCCAGCCCCCCATCCCTGCGCTGGGGGGTTACCCTGCCCCTGCTGTGCTCCAGTGTCACTTAGAGCTGCCTTTGGGCTGCTCTAACTTGTGCTGGGGGCAGAGAACAGCCACTGTGCAGTGGGGTCTGGTGGGCTAGAGCTGGGGGGTCTGGGAGCCCGGACTCCTGGGTTCTCTCCCCAGCCCTGTGAAGGGAGTGGGGTCTGGTGGGCTAGAGCTGAGGGGTCTGGGAGTCAGGACTCCTGGGTTCTCTCCCCTGCCTTGGGAGGGGAGTGGGGATTTCCTGGTTTGTGCACGGAGGCGAACGTTGAGGACTGGTTGTGCTGCCGGGAATCTCACCAGCAGGGCCCCGCCAGGTGCGTGGGGCCGGCGCCCCCCACGTGCCCCCTTCTCACTCCCCGTTTGCCTGTTTCAGAGACTCTGGAGATCTTTAAACTCCGCGTTCACTGCTCCTGTGAGGACACCTGCGAGGAACTGATAGTGAACATAGACGGTAGGACGCCTGGGTTCTCTCCCAGCTCTGGGAGGGGAGTGGGGTCTAGCAGTTAGAGCAGGGGGGCTAGGAGCCAGGACTCCTGGGTTCTCTCCCGGTTCTGAGAGGGGAGTGGGGGCTGGTGGTTAGAGTGGGAGAGGGGAGCCAGGCATCTCCCTGTGTGCCTCGGTTTCCTCCTGCACCGGGTGGGTCGTGCGGACGCCCCCTCCCCTGCCCCTGTGGCCCTTGGTCCCTGGGACGCACCTGCCCGTTGCCAGTCTCCGTGGCTGGGCCGATGGGTCCGTCCTCCCGTCCCCCAGGTGTGCCTGGCCAGTGCCCATGCCGCTAACGGGGTGTCTGCTCCCTGAAGGCTTCGAGAAGAAGCGGGGGGACCTGGGCACCGTCTCCTCCACGGTCCAGAAGCTGCCCTACGTGCTGGTGATGTCCACGCCCCTGGAGCGCGCCAGCCACCTGCAGAGCTCGCGCCGGCGACGGGCGCTGGACACTGACTACTGTTTCGGGTGAGCTGCGGCCCGGCCGAGGGGAGGGGATGCTGCCTGCCTGGGGGTATTGTTATGGGGGGCAGCTCTGGGAGGGGAGTGGGGGCTGGTGGGTCAGAGCAGGGGGGGCTGGGACTCC